TTATGCCTTTGTAGAGACATGGATGAACCTGGAAACCATCATTCTCAGCAAACTGACACAAAAACAGAAAACCAAACACCTCATGTTTTCACTTATAGGTAGGTATCGAACAATGAGAACACATGGGCACAGGGAGGGGAATGTCACACACTGGGGTCTGTTGGGGGATACAGAGCTAGGGGAGGGACAGCAGGAGGTGGGGAAGTTGGGGAGGGATGACATTGGGAGAGATGCCTAATGTAGGTGATGGGGAGATGGAGGCAGCAAACCATCATGGCATGTGTATACCTATGAAACAATCCTGCAAGATCTGCACATGTACCCCAGAACTTAAAGTACAATAAGAAAAAAAAAACACAATGAGATACCTTCTCATATCTATTAGAATAGCTACTATTAAAAAATAAACCCATAAAATAACAAGTACTGGAGAGGATGTGAAGTTGGAGCCTTGTGCACTGTTGGTGGGAATGTAAAATGATGCAGCCTCTAACGGAAACAGCATGTCAGTTCCTCAAACAATTAAAAATAAGCCAGGTATGATAGTGCACACTTGCAGTCCCAGCTACTCAGGAGGCTGAGGCAGGAGCATGGCTTCAGCCCAGGAGTTCCAGCCTGCGATGCACCATGACTGCACCATTGCACTCCAGCCGGGGAAACATAACAGGACCTCATCTCAAAAATAGTAATAATAATTTTTTAAAAATGGTGTCAGCTTACACAAAAGAGGACAGAGAGAGTTCAAAGTGAAAACTGGCCTCTAGTGAACCTCCTACAAGGAGGAAGCAGGCAAATGAAGCTGCTCAGCTACAAACATCAGCCATCTTTCATGAAAAAGGAATTATTCCTACTATTTAAGAGGCAGAGGCAACAACCCAGCTGAGTCAACAGCTCAGGTTCACAGTAGCTGCTCTGTGCTATACATAGCTCTCTGCTATGAACTCTTAGCCTGCTCTTGTACTGCCCAGCCCTCAGCCACAGATTCAAGTGAACTCCCCTGGGGCCCTCCCTCCCCTACCAGCTTTCTCCTCTGCTGTCCTAGTCCCACAATCCAGACACTTCAGGAGCTCTGACCTCTCATCTCTGCCTTCTCAGCTAAGCAAATTCACTGCTACATTGTGATTTGTTTTTACTTTTCTGGGCCATGTTCTAGAAAGTGCCCAAGCCAAAGAGCTGGGGCAAATATAGGTCTCTCCTTGGTGTTTCTCTTCTCTCAACAATCAGTCATGGTCCTAGACTTCCTAATGCTTAATATCTGAAATGGCTTCATATATTTTTGTCCAGTTTTAGTGAAAGGGTATGTTCTTGATCAGTTATTCCATCATGACTGGAAGAAGAAGTGGACAGTGGACTTTTGTTTTTAAATTTATGTTGAGTTTTTTTGTGTGTTAAGGAGTCTGGCTCCTGGTTAAAAACCCATGTATGATTTTTCAGGCCTGACTGCAGGTAATTACAAGGTTTTACCTGGCAGGCCTCACAGGGAAAGCTGCCCTGACTGCACCAGACTTGGGGCATGGCCAGTGCACTGCCCTCTCTGAAGGGAGGTGGTGTTACGGACTCATGCTCTTATTTGCATTCCTAAGTAAATTATTATAGAAAGCTTTTTTTTTTTTTTCCTCATTTATGTGGATGAATACATGGTGATTTCTTTTTGACATATTATGGAAAATTATATTGATTAATGATAATATCAAATAATCCTTTCAATATGGTATAGTAGTCTTTCAATGAACTGCTAGATTATTAATCTGTGTTAGTAAAAAGGAGCAGGGAGGTTTTGTTTGTTTGTTTTTAAGATAGGGTCTCACTCTTTTGCCCGGCCTGGAGAACTGTGGCATGATCATGGCTCACTGCAGCCTTGACTTCACAGACTCAAGCATTCTTCCTGCCTTAGCTTCCCCCATAGCTGGGACTACAGTTGTGTACCACCAAGCCTGGCTCTTTCTTTCTTTTTTTTCTGTAGAGACAAGGTCTCCCTGTGTTGCCCAGGCTGGTCTCAAACTCCAGGGCTCAAGGGATCCTCTTGCCTCAGCCCCACAAAGTGCTGGGATTACAGGCATGAACCACTACTCCTCCCAGCCTGTATTTTTCTTAATGTTCTCTGTTCTCTGGAAGAATATGAATAAAATCAAAATGATCTTTTCTTTAAATATTTGATAAAAGTGATCAGTTTTATAAAAACTTTTTGGTACTTATTGAGTCAATTTTAATAAAATTATTTTTCTAGATAATCTAAAATTTTATTGAAGTTTTCCAATATATTAGTTTAAAACTGTACAAAATGTTGTCTTCTAATTATTTTGTATTCATGGGTTTTTTTCCCCCAATTCTCAATTCCAATTTTTTGTATTTGTGCTTATTCTCCATTCATTTTTATGAAGCTTCTTTTCTCCAGGCTTCTTTGCAGGGCCCCTCTCTGTGGAACCTCGAATTTTAGGAGTGCTTTAGGAACTGGTTGTATGTTCCCTTGCTTCTTTCTCTACATTCTCTTCCTACATGACCGATCCCTTCCCATGACTTTAAATACTTCCACAAGCAGATGACTGTCATGCATTTCCAGGCTGAACCACTCCTTAATGCCCAGCTTTGTTCATATACAACTCCTCTTCTTGCTATCTCTACCAGGGTGGCTCAGGGGCCTTTCAAATGTAAAGAATTCCTGACTGACCTTTTCATAACCACCTTTCCCAAAACTCTTGTCTCTTATTCTTTCCCAGTGCCACTTGGGAGTGGCCAGACAAGTAGGAATAAAACCACCAAGGAGTAAATTTTACCAAGGAAGACAAGAGAGAAGAGTGTTTCAAGAAGAAAGAAATGGTTAACTGTGGGACTGATGTTGTGGGGTTGAGTATGGTTAGGGTAAAAAGTTATTGCAATATCTTAGTTCTTAGGTTGCATAGAGGGCTCACTAGGGCTCATTCTGTTATTTATACTTCATAATTACATGTATGAAACATATTTATTTACAGGAATAAAATATTATCCAATAACTTTTATTTTTTATATTATTATTATTTTTTGAGACAGAATCTCTCTCTGAAGCCCAGTCTGGAGTGCCATGTCAGGCTGCAACCTTCGCCTCTGGGTTCACGTGATTCTCCTTCCTCAGCTTCCTAAATAGCTGGGATTAAAGGCACCCACCACCACGCCTGGCTAATTTTTTGTATTTTTAGCAGAGACAGGGTTTCCGTACGTTGTCTAGGCTGGTCTTGAACTCTTGACCTCAGGTGATCCACTTGCCTGTTGTCCTGGAGTGAGCATAGAAAGTCAACACCAAGACAAAACTATGCCAAATTGCAGGGTCTTTATTGCCAGCAGCCACGGAGGACTTGAGTCTCTCCAACCCATGGCCCCGAAAGGAGGGTGTCAAGACCTTTTATACCCTTAAACCACCTCCGGGGTGAGGGTGAGGGGTGGGGGTGGGGGTGAGGGGCTTCAGACATTCCAAGGCCCAGTGGATTCTGTAAATCCCTCCTGGGCGGAGATGAGGGTGAGGGGCTCCGGACATTCCGAGGGCCAGGGGACTTTAGACATTTGGATTGTTACTTAAGTGGTTCACAGAAGTCAAGATACGTGTTAGTTTACACATTGTCTGGATAGGGTGGAAATTACAGACCTTAATTACTTATTACAAGTCACAGGGGCCAAGATGGCGTCAGTTTGGACTGCTTGCCTGTCACATTAAGGGTTACAGAGAGCAGTTTCAACAGAAAGCCGAGGTATGTTTGAGGTATGCAATTTTATGGGGCTTTTACCATGTCACAGCCTCAGCCTCCCAAAGTGCTAGGATTACAGATGTAAGCCACCGCACCTGGACAATAGCTTATTTTTTTAAAGAAATAGAAAGTCCCTAATATCTTAAGTGATATCTTACCTGATGATGGCTGATGATGACCTTGGAAGAGCAGTTTGGATGGAAGGGTTTGGGCTGAAGACACTTGGAAGTAGAATGACAATGCAGGGGAGGCAGCATGTGTAGACCACTAACTATGAAACTTGGCTGTGAAAGGTGGCAGAGACAGGGAGAGGCAGCTGGAAAGGGAGGCGGGCCCAGGAAGTAGTTTCATCAGAGTATGCGAGCATGTTATGAAAACCGATCCAGGAAAGGGAAAAAATGATGATGGAGGTGAGAGAGGATAATCAAACATGGGTTGTTGAGGAGATGGGGTCAATGGAGTCTTGAACTGGTGCTAAAGGACAGGACTGTGATGGAAAAAGAAACAAACTCTGATCTGTAACAAGATGGAAGAAAGAAAAAAAAAAAAAAACAAGTGTAAAAGCCAGCAGGTTTATAGGCTTGTGATAGGGATGGTCTGATGGCTTTTATTTTCTCAGTGAAGTATAAGGTAAGATTCTGGTTTGACAGTGACATAGGTACTGAGGAGGAGAGAAGGAAGTGTTGGGAACCTAGTCGAAGTCTGAAATAATTTAAAGGAAAATCAAGTCAAATCTTTTGTTCTTTTTTCTCTGAGACAGGGTCTTGCTTTTGCCGCCCAGGCATGATCTTGGCTAACTGCAACCTCTGCCTCCTAGGCTCAAGCTAACCTCCCACCTTAGCCTCCTGGAGTCGGGACTACAAACACATGCCACCACGCCTGCCTAATATTTGTGCTTTTTGTAAAGACAGGGTTTCAGCCCAGGCTAGTCTTCAACTTCTGAGCTCAAGTAATCCACCCACCTCAAGTCAAATCTTAACATGAGCTTAGTAAGCTGGGTATAGGTAATTAGAGGTAACAAAATCAAGGGTCCCCATTAAGCCATATTACGAAATTTGACATTAACCTGAAGGCAATTGAGAACTCTCAAGGGTTGAAGGAGGGAGGATGTGATCTGAATACTGTATTTGAACCTGCCCCCTAGCTAGGATGTCTTTTCAGATAGTGCCAAAGGCCCAGGGTTTAAGCCCCTGGGGCACGGAATGCCCTTGCTCCCCTGTGGAGGGGAAGACTCAGCACTCCGCGCGGGTGAGTGCAGCTCCCCTGCAGCACCCAGGGCCATACCTCTGCACACTGTCTTTAGGAAGTATGAATGTCAATTCCTCTCCAATGCTGGATGCCAAAACTGCATTTGGTATGTGATGATAAATCAGACGAGAGATGTTCTCTGCATCACAATGAGGTTTTTTCAGTAAAGTCATATAATATCCTGCACCTGAAACACCATTTGAAAGATCATGAAACAATTTCACTTTTTATGCTTTTCTTCAGCCACAGTTAGTTTTCTGTGGCTTAGACTGGGACAGCTCCATCGGAAAGAGCAGTGGGAGAGCCCTGTGAGGCCAAATTTGAACCACAGTGAACTTGCTAGGAAACTCTGTAGTCTGTTCTTGAGAGCCTTCCCTTCCATTCAGTAACTGGTAGGTGATCACGGCAAATGTAGCAAGGGTAGGCACGAGGAAAGAGGGCTGCTTTAAGGGTGACACTCCCCTTAAGTCATAACTATTTTTGAGAAATGAAAACTCAGTAGGCAGAGGCCTTAAATGTTAAGCAAAGAACAAAGATACCCATAGAATAATTAAACCAGGTTTTCAAAGACACATACCTATGGCATTCTAAATTCTTTCCAAAGTCAGTAACACTTGTCATTATTGTTCGTTGATGTACTCATTCAATAAACATTTCCAGAGGCCCTAGGATATGACAGGCACTGTCCTAGGTACTGAGGATAGAGAATTGGACCAAACAGTCAAAAATCTCTATTCTCATGGGGCTTTCACTAACGGGCTGGGAGACAAACAAAAAACAAGATAAATAAGTAAAATGGTTAGAGTATTAGTGACGTTCTAAGAAGAAAGATAAACATAGGAGGGGACAGGAGGGTTGGGGATGTGATTTCAAACAAGGTGATGAAGAAAGGTCTCATTGAGAATGGGACATCTCAGAAGGCACAGCTACACCTGGCCTGGAGGAACGAGTGTGCCTGGAGTGCTAGATCAGCACAGGGCCCTGGGCAGCAGGAGCAGAGCAAGGAGGTGGAAGAGTGTTAGGAAATGAGGTTGGAGTAACAGGGTCAGGCCACATGAGGCTCTAGAGGCCACTCCAGGGACTTTGCCTTCTCCTCTGAGTGAACAGGGAAGTCACTGGAGGTTCCAAACAGCAGAGTAACATGTGCTGTAACGTGCTCATTTTAACACCTGGGTTCAGTGCAGAGTGAGTGGTGGGGAGATGGGTTAGCAGGCATCTCCATAATCCAGGTGGGAGGAGATGGGGGCCTACACCAGAAAGCAGTGCAAGACAGTGGTCAGAGGTAGGGACAGAGACAGAACCTGGATATATTTTGTAGATAAGACCAAAAAAGTCTGTAGATGTATCAAATATGAGGTTTGAGCAAAAGAGGTGTCAGGGAGCCTGCAAGGTTTCAGTTAAGCACCTAGAAGAACAACGTTGCTTTTACTGAGAAGACAAAAGCTGCAAGAGGAGCAGGTGGAGAGTGTTGGAACTCAGTGCTGACAGGCTTCTCACAAGTCTCAGAGATCCATTCAACACCTACATGGAGGTGTGGTAGAAGCAGTCAGATGTATAGACCTATGGTTCAGGAGAGAGGTCCAAGCTGGAGACACACATGATTTTCCACACAGAGAAGGTATGAATATTTAAAGACAGGGGACTGGATAAGATCACTAAGTCAGGGAGCAGAGAAAGAAAAGTGAAGATGGTCAGAGGAAGGAATGGTACAAAGCAACAGCAGAGACATGAAGGAGCCAAGAGAGCAGGGGTGCAGAAGGACAGTAGGGGGCAAGTGCAGAGGGGTGCAGATAAAGGCTATAGTCAGTTGAGGAAATGAAACTCACACTTGTAGGATGCTTTCACACACAGTGTCTCACTCTTTGAGGAACGTGGTATCTTAATCTTCATTTTACAGATCAGAAAACAAAGACTAAGAAAGGAGAAACTAACAGGGCCATGTAGATGACAAGGCAGTCAACTGACAGATTGTAACTTAAACATGGGCTTCTGAGTCCAAGCGATATCTCATGCCTCTTCCCTCTCACAAGCTCCCCTGCCCAGCTGGGCTCTCCACCCAGAGGCAATAGACAGGAGGTCTAGAGAAGGCCACCCCTGCCTGATCTCAGGGCCTTTCATGAAGGCAGCAGTCATTCCCTCAGCACAGCAGCCAGGACACTGACCCTGTGGCGGCCTGGCCCCGCTCACCGTATTTCTGCTTGAGGAACAGCGGGGACCCGCAGCACTGCAGCTCCCCCTTGGCCATGATGGCGATGCGATCTCCCAGCAGGTCAGCCTCGTCCATGAAGTGGGTGGTCAGCACGATGGTGCGGTCACGTTTCTGCTGCTGAAGAAGGTCCCAGATGGCCCTCCTGGAGATGGCGTCCATGCCCGAAGTGGGCTCGTCCAGTATCAGCACCTGGTGGGAGAGGCACAGCATCATGACGCTGATAGAGCCACATCCCCTCAGGCCCAGGCTGGACTTGCTGCAGGCCCCATCAAGAGGTTCACAGAGCTAACTCGAGTCCTCCAAAGATGGTGATGGCCTTGTCTGGGGCATCAAGGGCCAAGGTGCCTGGGTCATGGTGGAAGGGCCAGCCCAGGCCAAGCAGGAGAGGAGCCAGTGCCTCTGGTCCCACTGCCACACCTTGGAGCCTGCGATGAGCGCGATGCCGATGGAGAGCTTGCGCTTCATGCCCCCACTCAGGAAGCGGCTCAGGGAGTTCTGCTTGTCCTCCAGGCCAATGATTCGCAGCATCTCCTTGACTTCTTCAGGGCATTTCTGGCGCGACAGGCCCTTCACCTGCAATGACAGGTGAAGCAGGGGGATGCAGGGCTCTTGATGGGAGGCTGACCCTGGCCAGTGAACATTTTGCTTGTGTGTATACATATACATAAAACATACATAAGAAACTCATTACCTTCAGGGAAAGGGATGGACAAAGACTTTTGCATTTGAATCATGTAAATAAACATGTGATGTTAAAAAGTAAATACAGCAGCATGTTAAAGGGTTATTCATTACAACGAAGTGGGATTTATCACAGGAATGCAAGGGAGGCTGAACATATGAAAAACCAGTGTTAACTTGCCTGGCCTTTGTCCCTGATTCCTGGGAAGAAACCTCTAAATGATTAGAATTTCTGAAGTAATAGGAGTATCTTTTTTACTCATGGTGGGGCCCCACCCACGCGTCGTCATGCCTGTGTTTATGCTAACGAGGTGACTCAGGATGTGTGACGGTCACACCGCAAAGACCAGCCGTGTGATTAGAAGGTTGGGGCTTTGAGCAATGTGATGTCAGCCTGCCTCCCAGTTTCCTGGGTTGTGCAGGGAATGCTGGAGATGGAGTTCAGTGACATGGCCAATGCTTCAATCATTGCTAACCCCCAAAAAACTGGACACTCAAAGCTTAGGTGAGCTACCCCAATAGACACCAATGTGCTAGGAGGGTACCACATCCTAAGGACACAGAAGCTTTGCATTTGGGACTCTCCCAGATCCCACCCATGTGGCTATCTTTTTTGGCCAGTCTTGAATTGTATCCTCTAGAATAGAACTATAACCGTAAGTGTAGGACTTTCCTGAGTTCTGTCAGTAGTTCTAGTGAATTAACAAGCCTGAGAGAATAGTGGGACCTCCACATTTGCAGCCAGTTTATCAGAGTGCTTTGTTTGTCTATGAACCTCCAAGCTTGTGGGTTCTAAAGTGGAGGTAATATTGCTGGGGTCTATACCTCTAATGTGTGAAGCCTATGCTAACTCCATTGTTAGAGTCACATTTTTTTTTGTCTTTTTTTCTCCTTTTTTTTTTCCACAGAGAATGGGGTCTCCTCGCTATATTGCCCAGGCAAGTCATCAACCCCTGGGCTCAAACTATCCTCCTGCCTCTGCCTTCCTAAGAGTGGAGATTACAGGCAGCAGGCATGAGCCACCATACCCAGCCCATTGTTACAGTCAAACTGCACTGCATATTAACAGACAGAAGGGCTAAAATCACATAATGCTCTCAGTAGACACAGAAAAGCATTTCACAAAATCCAATACACTTTCATGATGAAAACATTCAGTAAATTAGAAATGGAAAGGAACTTCCTCAGCATGATAAATAGCATCTATGAAGAAAACACAGCCAACACCACACCTAATGCTGAAACGGAAAGCTTCCCCCCAAAGATCAGGAACAAGACAAGGATGTCTGCTCTTGCCACTTTATTCAACATTTTACTGGAGGCTGTAGCCAGGAAAATTAGCCAGAAGAAAAAAAGTCATCCAGACTGAAAGAAAAGATGTAAAACTATCACCTCTTGGCAGATCACATTAACTTATTTATAGAAAACATTAAAGAATCCACAAAATGCTATTAGAGCTAATAAATGAGCCTAGGAAAATTTCAGGATATGAGATAAATATACAAATGGGAGTTGTATTTCTTTACACTAGCAATAAACAATCCAAAGATGAAATTACAAAAATAAATTCCATTTACCTTAGGATCACAAAAGACAAAATATTTAGAAATAAATTTAACCAAGGAAGTGCAAGAAAGGCAAGTACACTGAAACTGTAAAAAATGGTTGAAAGAAATTAAAGAAGACCGAAATAAATGGAAATACCTTTTGTGTTCATAGACTGGAACACTTAATTTTGTTACTATGACATTACTATCCAAAGCAATCTAGAGGCCATGCCCAGTAGCTCACACTTGTAATCCCAGCAGTTTGGGAGGCTGAGGTGAGTGGATCACATGAGGTCAGGAGTTCAAGACCAGCCTGGCCAACGTGGTGAAACCCCGTCTCTAGTAAAAACACAAAAAATGAGTCGGACATGGTGACACGCACTTGTAATCCCAGCTACTCGGGAGGCTGAGGCAGGAGAATCACTTGAACCCGGGAGGTGGAGGTTGCAGTGAGCAGAGATTACGCCACTATTCTCCAGCCGAGGTGACAGAGCAAGAGCCCATCTTAAAAAAAAAAAAAAATTAGTTGGGCGTGGTGACAGGAGCATGTAATCCCAGCTACTCAGGAGGCAGAGTCACAAGAACTGCTTGAACCCAGAAAATGGAGGCTGCAGTGAACCAAGATCATGCTACTACACTCCAGCCTGGGGAGCAGAGTAAGACTGAAAACAGAAAACACTAAAAGCTACTTAATTGAACATTGTAAAACCTGTAAAATGATGAATTTCATGTTATGTGAATTTTGTTTCAATAAAAATTCAAATATAATAGTTTCTAGAAATCCTTTAACTCAGAAATCTTGACTTAAATGCCATGCCCCTTCATCCTTACTGAATGTTTAAGGAATACTGTCCAGAAGAGGTTTCAAGACTGTGACATAATAAGAAATATATAGTTGGTCTCTGCCCTGGTTCTTGGCACTGAGCTCCTAAAGTGCTTGTAATTTCCTGAGTGACAGAGCTGCTAGAAGCATCTTTTGTTCTAATATTTGATTTTTGATTTGACAATTGATTTGATTCCTTACAAAGAACTCCCAAATTCCTTGGAATTTCCTGAGTGATAGGAGCATCTTTTTGTTTTAGGAAGGCGACTTTTGGTGGGCTCCTGGATAGCTTCAGGATGTGAGCTGGTCACCAGAAAGACTAAGCCATGCTTAGAAGCTTGGAAATTTCAGGCCAGGTGTGGTGGTTCATGCCTGTAATCCCAGCACTTTGTGGGGCCGAGACAGGTGGATCTCTTGAGATCAGGAGTTCGAGATCTGCCTGGCCAACATGGCAAAACCCTGTCTCTACTAAAAATGCAAAAAAAAAAAATTAGCTGGACATGGTAGTGGGCACCTGTAATCCCAGCTACTCAGGAGGCTGTCAGAAGAATCGCTTGAGCCTGGGAGGTGGAGGCTGCAGTGAGCCAAGATCATGCCACTGCACTCCAGCCTAGGCAACAGAGCAATATTCCTTCT